GGGTCTGGATGCTGTTCAGCCAAATGGCTATTTCAATATTAGTCTAAATACTAGAACTCGTGACCATAAGTGGAAATTAGCGGGAGAACATTTTAAAACAAATTTGAGGAAGCACTTCTTTACACAGTGTGTAGTTAGAGTATGGAATAGTCTTCCTGCTAGTGTAGCGGAAGCTAAAACCCTGGGTTCCTTTAAATCAGAGCTAGATACGATTTTAACAACTCTGAGCTATTAGTTAAGTTCTCCTCAAACGAGCTTGATGGGCCGAATGGCCCCCTCTCGTTTGTAAATTTCTTATGTTCTTATGTTAATACAGCATCACAACGCAATCTCTGAAATCAATACGAATGTGTAAAATATATCTTACTCTTCTCACTAGTCCTAGAGTGAGGATCCACATCCATTTCAGGATTCTAATATCAGTGCATCAGCCTGTTTATATTACAACGCTGGATAAGATGAAATTAAGCCTGCGATTGGGGGATGTGGTGGGCTAAACAGCCAATGGTAGGATGGGATGGCAGGATGGGAGAGGCTGTACTACACTGGGGGCTACAGGTGGGGCCGGCCTGTAGCCAGAAATAAATGTTGGGGTGCGGCAACCCTGCCAATAGGTCCCTCTTGGTAGATTTTGCCAACAGGGGTGCGGGGGCAAACTTTGGGGGGTGGGGTTCAAACCAGTAGTTCTACTAAGTGGCTAAATGTCTGATGTGGGTGGGTCCTGTTCATATTATAAGACCCTATTAAAGGGGAGGGCTGACAGTCAACCTGGGACATTAATTGTGTCTTAAGATTCATTCCCTACACACAGGTCTCTTGTAGGGATGCAGGGAGAATCCACTCAATCTGTCACCATCTTATCTGCCGTCTGCTTCCAGGGCCGGAAGAGGCTCTCATTCAACTTGATTATGGAGCATTTCCTGTCATTGGAAAGCCGTATGACGGAACATCAGGGCGTCCATCTAATATCCATTACTCATATTATTCAGCGTCATTGGTTTCTTCTGTTGACGGTGACTTTATTGCCCTTTTGTATTGAGCTGAGTTTCTCCCACGGTGCTGTGGGAAAGGCTCTTCTGGGAGTGAATCAGCCGAGCACTGATTCACCTCACAGTAACAGCGTTACCTACCGCCCTGGGGCAAATGTCAGGAGAGTGACTCTTTCGTTTATGAAGGCCATATAATGCGGGAATTTTGGTTTCATTACGGGAAAGCATAACAAACCCAGAAAGAGCCCTCCAGGAAACGGATGACTTGACATTACGCTAATCAGACCATGTGACCCCATCACGGGCTGCCGGCTCAATTGGCTGCAGAGGCTTCCTCACCTGGCCCTCGCTGATGATGAAGAAGGTGTCCCCGGTGGCCCCCTGCCGGATGAGGTAATCCCCATCGGCGTAGTGGGTCTGTCAGGTGGTGGGGAAGGGGCAGGGAAATGGGCGGGTCCCAGGAAAGACCATGAGAAAAGGACGGGTGGAGAAAATGAGGTAAGGAGCAGAGAGAGATTAGATGAGAAGAGGGGGAATAGAGATGTGTGAGGAAGTGCCAGCGGGCAGGAACACGGGCTACAGGGGCGTCGCCATCTACGCAGTGTTCCTCAAGCGGCCTGCAGCACCCTGCGTGTTTCCGTGCACACCACGACCACGCCGTACCTCCTCCAGGACGTCGGCCACCTTGCTAAGCACGTCCTCGGGCAGGGGCTGGAACGACGGCACGCTGGGGAGGAGGACGGCAAAACTCAGCGATTCCCAAATGTAAAATATGAAAGAGAAACACATGCGGGGTTGGGGGAGGGGGTCTTGGGCAGGACACTGTGACAGCGACATGGGGGGGGGCACGGTCACCTGCGCAGGAACTCCATGTACTGTGAGTGGCGGATCAGGCCCGTCCGCATCATGATGGTCTGGAAACACTGCCGGTTAATGGCCCACAACTTGATATCAGTCAAGGCTGGGGAGGGAGAGAGAGAGAGAGACAGAGAGAGAGAGAGACAGAGAGAGAGAGACAGAGAGAGAGAGAGAGAGAGAGACAAAGAGAGAGAGAGAGAGAGAGAGAGAGAGGAGAATTGACTGCAGTCTGATTTTAAATTAAAAATACCTGCGCTTCTGCTTTCTGATGCTACGGGAGTCTGAGCAGCTCGCATAAATACAGACATGAAAGGCAGTAATGTGAGTGAGGCCCCGTCCATGGGTGCGTGTTCGTGGCCCCGAGTCGCTATGTTTTATCTCCCCCTTAGCAGACAGGAGGCCTGTCGCTTCCCAGAGACCTCGGCATTGATCCTGGTCATGCCGCGGCGGCCGGTAACGTGGTACAGACCCCCTCCCTGAAAGCCGGGGCAGCCTCCCAGCTGAATTATAGGGTGCACACCCCCCCCCCCGCTGCCGCCAAATGGATTTCTCTCAGGAAATACACTTATTCTCACCAGTAGGGGACACATTAGCAGGGATGAAATTCTAAGTGATATTTCAGGGTGTCTAAGTCCCATCCTGTGCCTCTCTGTCACTGTTTTACTTCATTAAATGCAGAATAGAGATTCAAAGCTGTATTTCCTATATCCTGTACATCTGCCCCCCCCCCCCGTGCTGTGGGCAGAGGGAGAGAAGATCTTTGGCACAGATGCTGTGAATTAATGATGGACCTGATTAATCGACTCAATTTCTCATCTTGGAAGCGGGAGGCGACCCAACACCCCCCCCCCCCCCCCCCCCCCCCCCCATCCCCAGCATGGCTTTATTACACTTTTTTTCAAAACGGAAAAGGGTGTTAAAAACTGTTTTTTTTTTCTAAAGGCTCTGAACATGCTCACACACGCCTGACGCAGTATTTACGGCGGCTTGCCCCCAGGTGTTCTGGCCAGCGCGTATTCCCCGGCGAACTCGGTTAGGCTTCAGCGGGAATGTAAAACGTGGCTCGCAGATTCCGCACAGGCCGAGAGCTGCAGTCACATGCGGGAAGAAAACCGCTGGCAGCTGAGCAAACAAGCGCGGCGTCAAACAACAGCGAGAATGACAGTATTGTGGGGGGGGGGCGCTAGCGAGACACACTGACAAAGGCTTTAGGCTTAATCACCGAGGCTCCGGCTAGACCCAGACCCCCAGATTCCCCGTGCCCTGCATGCGCTCTCTCTGCCGACAGATGCTCAAGACAGAATTTGAGGAAATGAGGTCAATTAGGAGACGGTCAGCGATCTGAGGCTTCACAGGTTATGTAATGACGATGCACGCCTTTTCACACCTGTCCATCCACTCCTGGGGGGGATATATGGTGCCGCATGACTTACAGTGCGTTCACACAGTGGGCCAGATGTCTGTTTTTTTTTTTAGCTTTAGCATTAGCGCCAGCACCACTGACAAGCTAACTGGCTAACAGGCTAACCCAAATGCCACGTCCCAACACCAGGGCGGTAGAACCGTCGACAGCACACTCCGCGTGGTGCATGGCATCCCGACCTCCTGGCCTCCCTCCGTTTTACCGCGTAGCTTGTAATGTGAAGGAATTTATAAGAAGGAATTAAGAAAGTCTTATTAAGTTATTAGAGGGCTTCAAAAACGGAAAAAAAAAAAAAGGCTACAGCGAAGGAAAATTCAGGTCACCGCTGAAGACAGGAGTACAGCCAAGAACAGACGGGGGGAGGGGGAGAGTTGGGGGGGACGAGCATTTGGGAGAGGGAGACAGAAAACCAGATTAGGAATTCTCTTCAGGTCCATGGGCAGTCCGGACTGCCTTAGGGGACAGTTGGTACCACGAGGCCGGTTCTTTCGCACCCCCTTGCCCTGGTTCTGATGGGCCCATGCATTCTGGTGGCTGACCTAGGGCTGTCGGACCCGGATCTCAGATGGATGGACGTACAGTAAGCGGTGCCTGTACAGCTTGACCCATTTCTCTGGCAGGAAACCAGGTCAGTGGCGAGGAGATGGACCTGCTTCTGTCGGCGGGTGGAGGATAAGCGGCTGTCATCACACTGTGAGAAACGTGCCCCACGCCCGAGGACCCTCTGCGAAAGGGCATGGGGGGTCTGATATGCCGCATCGGGTCTGGCAGGCTGATTACTATCTGCATCGCATCCAGGGTGCAGCCTGGGATAGGCTCCGCCCTCTGCCATTAACCCTGACTGGGATAAAGAGTCAGAAGATGGATGGATTGATGATTAAAATTTGCTAATTACCCCAAGGCAAAAGTAGATTTAATGATATCTAATGAAGTGCATGTAAAATATCCCTCCTGATGGGGGAGAGGGGCCGCCCAAGGTGAGTTGCCCCCCCCCCATTTATCTTTCAGAATTCCCACCTCACAATAAGGGCTCTTTGAAGTGCGGGAAGCGGCTGATAGTGACTTTGATTTAAAATTCATCAGTTCTAGGGCAAAGCGGAGCAGCGCACGATGTTTGCGAATGAGGGCGACTCCCGGGACCAACCGCGCCTCTATCCGGCAGCTTCATTTCCCGTGTTACGCTTCACCCACGTGTCCCGACTCCAAAGGCAGCCTCCACACAGCCAGTCAGGCTCCCTGCGCCAGTCACCCCTGTCCTCGCCGCCACGAACGAGTCTACTCCCTCTCACTTGAGAAGAGAATAGCACGAGTCTTATGTAAAAAGAATAACAAATAAATCGGCCTGAGAGAGCGCCGGGACCTTGGGCCTAGAGGAACGGTCATTGTGCGTTATCTGCCTTCGGCTTACTGGCAGAAAACATGAATAATTCACTTATTTTGGAATTCGTCAAATCTGACAGTCCACAGTCAGACAATAGTGTAGTCCGCTGGTCTGAGAGGCACTAATCCTGCTAGTTATCTCACCATCTCACCTTGGTTAGTGTTGAGTAGCAGAGTGATAACAGGCTGTGGCCACACTGACAGAGGAAACCTCCCCCCCCCAAATGAGTCTAATTAGGCAAGGCTGACACGTCTCTAACAAGGAGTAAGAGGGGTTATGAGGGCGTGAGCCGGCTTTCCTCATCCGTCTGGGCCTCTTCTGTTCCTTTCATCCAGAATACACCCTTGGAGCCCTTCCATGCCTCACCGGGCTTCGGTTCGCCGTGAGCCCGTTTGCCCGGAGCTGTGGTGACCATGACGCTGCCCAGCCTGCTGTAAATAAAGACGGTGGAGGCACCTCCACCTGACCATCAGGCCTTGACTGTGTGACGGGTAAAGGAACCAGGTCCCAGGAGTAGAGGAAGAGGAGCCAGAAGGCAGACAAGACTGAGGCAAAGAGTCATTTTCCAAGTGAGTTTGGGTGGGGGGGGGGGGGGTTTAAAAATATACCCCAAAGAGGGGGATTTCGGGACCTTAGTCACGTTAATCTGAGTGCCTTCATCTTTCCAGCATCTGGGGTGAGGTACAAAAAATAGCAGTAGCATAGCAGCTGCAGCTACTTGTTTGTTCTGTGCCTGAAGAACGCTCCCGCGATCGTACTACCCCCCCCCCTCGATTTCCTGCTCCGGAGCTTGAATAAAACCCTCACATGAGAAAAAAAAAAGACATTCTGTTCTGTTGTTCTGAGCAACTTTGCAGGGCATGGACTGCATTTGTGCATCTGGACGTACATCAAAAGGTCAGGTTTTGCGATCAATCCTATAAGTGCCAAGTCATCCGGCAAAGCGATTCTTCCATGTGTGGAGTTTGAAGGGACCTGCCGATCGGCCTTCCGTTCAGAGAAGCCACAGCTCGCTAAATGTCCTCCTGTCTGCTACAGGAAGGGTTTCACCTCTTACTCTGGGGTATTTCTGCTCCTGATCACATGGCTGTATAGCATGTGAGACATTCAGGCATCTGGCCATGCGTCCAGGTGGAGGTGTGAACCGGGCTCTCTGCAAGCAGGCAGCCCCGCTGAGCCGCCAGTACCTGTGACAGTGGCCGTGCGAGTGCAGTTGTACAAGATGGCCAGCTCTCCGAACACCCGGCCCGGGTCCATGGTGCACAGCTTCTGGTTCTCCTTAGTCACCTCCACCTTCCCCTCTGTGTGAAAACAAGCAGCAGAGGCGTTAGAGCAACTTATGTATCGCAGGCCTGATGTGTGACAGTGAGGGGGAGGGGGCCCCTGTTGCAGCGCACCGTGTGTGTGCGTTTCGTAATTACTACATCGTGGGGACCAGACTTCCTCACAATGTCATAAAAACGTTGTGGGGAAACGTTTTTTTTTTGGTCACAGGGGGAAAATTCAATTTTATAAAAATCTGTGAATGCAATGAAAGAAAATAAAAATCCTAAAAGTCATTTTGTTTGGTTTATGGTTAAGGTTAGGATTGAGTAGGTAGTAAAGAGTTGGTACCACCAACCAAAGGAGTGGGGGGGGCGGATTCAGACATTTAGCGTCCAGCAACAATTCAAGTTGCATTTGAATCCACATATAAAGGCCACACTGGTTTTGTGCGCGTATATCTTTCCTGAAAAATGACACAATTGCAGCGTGTAGGTGCATCATACACAGTGCATGCGTGTGCCGTGTCCGTGTGCCATGTGCTGTGTCCGTGACAGCGCAGTGCCGTGTCTGCAGATGTCAGCATGACGCCGACATCAATCAACAGGAAAAAAGCCGCAGACTGAAGCAGGGTGTCGGCAGCAGATGACAACAGGCTGCCTCTCCAGCTGCCCCGGGCTTCCTCCAGGGTCAGCAGGGAGGCGCCGCAGCCTCCGGAGCCGCTAAAGCATGGAGACGGCCCGGTTCTGACAGCCGGAATGGACCGGTGAGGGAAACGGCAGCGCCCAGCCCGAAGTACCATGAACAGATGTTCGGCAGCGCCTGTCAGATCCGGAGGTGTTGAGAAGTTATTAGGTCGGTCTCCGGGAGGGACCGGGGGTTTGGCGGGGGGGGGGGACCTGGCATAATGACACATTCACGTGACATGTGGTGGCCGTATATTTGAGCCGCCATCCCATTCAGTGCCACCCCTTTGCTGCGTAACGGCTCTCAAACACGGCACGGGTGATGGGTCTCATTATCGCTAAACCCTCCCGTCCCATAAACGCACTGACCCTTCATTTTCTGACATCACGTGTTGGCAGCACCGGCGACAGGATGTCCGTAATGGGGGGGGGGCTGGGGGGGATCCAGGTGGCAGCTGCCAGGGCAGTTAGCAGAACATATTAAGGGTCTTGGACCATTACAATTCTCTCCATTACAGTCCATTACAGTCACCAGTCGCTGGCAAAATAGTGACCCAACGCAGAATGCCAGCCTCTTATTGCAATCAGGACAAAAAGTATTTACTCAGAAACATCCAATATCACACAATGATTTCAGTATGCATTCAGCGTCTCTCTCACCCTCCAGCACGTAGACGAGAGAGCCGTCATCTCCTTCCTTGATGACGCAGCAGCCTTGGGTGACGGTGGTGGGGTGCATGCAGTCCACTATGGCCAGTATCTGGCCCACCTCCAGGTGTTTCATGAAGTCATTCTCGAGTAAAGCGGCCTGGATGAGCTCTTGGGAGCTGTGGGGGAAAGCAGGCTGATTGGAAGATGATCCGTTCACATTCTGTGCCACAGCCACACAATGGTCGCTATTCAGGCGTCTTCAGTGGTAGAAGGTTACAATGACTTAATATCACCTTCGATTCGTCCAACTAGGAGCTATTCATCCATTCAAGCGTTTATAGCTCCAGAAAAGGAAAGTCTCTCAAAGAACGACAGAACCGGACTGACTTCTCCCCTATGACTCCGGCGACAAATTTTAACACCCCGAGGCTGCATGCTGTTAAAGGAAAAGCTTCTAATAATCACTGTTAATTATCAGTGAAAATGCACAGAGTTTATGTTATTGCAGTGAAGACCACGGTTTTTTAAATGCTCAGCATCACCTCGCAGGTTTGACTCGACTGTCTGTAGCAGCTGTTAACCAGCACAGCTTTTCCACTGGAGAAACGGCAAACGGCGAAGGAGCCCCTGACCTTCAGCGGTATCTGGCTTTGACAGCGGTTAACGTTAAGCTCGAATATCAGCAAAACAGGCTGAGCAAAACGTCCAGACTACAAACAGTATGGAATAGGCTTTCACCTTACAGTTTACAGCTTGGGGAATATCGTACGACCCTGATTTTTTACCATCCTTTCACTCATCCTTCTCCAAACTGCTTTTCCAATAGTCAGAAATTCTATTTTAGTCCAAAATCATTACTGACCATTATTTCCATCTAAATCAATGGTTCTGGACTCTGTCAACACCCCCCCCTCCCCCCAGCAAATCCACTTCTTTTTATCCCTCTATTTCCACACCTGTATTTCTTGCCATCTGATAACGTGGCCCTTGATTACCTAACTCGAGCGTGCAGGGTTAAAAACTTGCACCGTCCTAAACAGGTATGCAAACAGCTCTCCCTCACGATTTGCTCTTGCTGTAGCTGGTCAGGGTCACATGTGGCAGCTGGCTGGGGTCCAGGGCAGTGGGCTCAGCAGATATGGCCTGTCTCTTGGTGCGCTGGGGCTCATCAGCAACCACAGGTGGTCCTGAAATCGATACGGCATGGAACCACCCTTAAATTTGTTTTTTTATTATGCTTTTATAAATCTGTAAAAGCAAGCTAAAAAGCAAAACAAAGTTTAAACATACAACTATCATAAAATATTTCAAATTAAATTTCTGGATTTTTTTTTGTTGCTCAATTTAGATGTCACACCATTGAAATCGTGCAAAGAACAGACAATTGGATGAGAGCATCCAAAAAAAGAGAGGCTTGGACCGCTTCCAGAGCTCCGGAGTGTGGGGGTGGCACACGCTACCTGTGGAGGGAGCGGAGGGCCCGGAGGGGGTCAGGCTTGCCCGATAGCGGTCGAGCTCTCCCTGCAGTCGCCGAATTAGGTCGTCCTTGGCGTCCAGCTCCAGCTCCAGCTCGTCGATGAGAGTGTCGCGCTGCCGCAGCTCCTCGATTTTCAGCTGCAGGGCGAACTGGAGGTCCCGCAGGGTGCCCATTGCCTGGAGTCAGGGGGACGGCTGGCAAAAATGGCTGTTTGCGGGGCTCATAAAATGTATGCATGCAATCTAAACATCATCTCAGGACGTTCAAAGAAAAAAACGTTATAAATAAATATCTGAACTGAACATTTGTATTCATGAAATGTACAGTCAGATCGGATGGTTGGCTTTATGCGCAAACTTTACATTTGCATAGACACAATAAGATATACACGGAAAGACAGAAAAACTGCCACAAAACCACAATCCTAAATTAAAGTTTAACAAACGACGTTGCCGGCAGCGGTCTGTTTTCTCAGTATTAGGATAACGGTTTAATTCATCCAGCAAACATGTGAACTGATTACCAGTAGTACTGCATCCACTACAAGTTCTACATGCAATATTAATCTACACTGCTACAGAAATGACGAGAAAACGTATTTCCTCCGGCAAAAAGAAAACATCAAAAGTCACTTAAAAAAATAAACAACAATACAAAATAACAGAACATAGGTATTTTACCTGTTTCCGAACGCCGATACCTTGGGAGATCCAAAAACGACACACCTGCCTCTTGGACAACCTATATATGTACTTGCAGAGGTTTACGAGAGCAGACTCCAAAAAATCTGGGCGAATAATTTCAGTATTAATGTGCTACCGGGATTTTGAGCCAGCCGACGGTAATACAGGACGATCGTACTCTCCTTGTTAACTAGGACTGAATCCAACAGGCAAGCGCACACACTTCAGTAGCGGAGCGTCACTGAGACGTAGCGGTAATTATGTCCAGAATGGCATTTTGTCCGATGACCCTCCATCGCATCCCCGCTAAAACTAATTCCGACGTCGCACTGTTCTCACGCCCACACTGGCAGATCCCCCCGAAACCACCACACACCCCCTTGCATTCATTTTAGTAATCTCCGCATAAGAAACGAAATAGAGGTCCGTGATGTCAGATCACGCAGGTAATGTATGTGCTGTTCTTTGTACGTTTGTATATTATTTATGTTTTTTCCCGTCGGTGTCCATCCTTCTAGTTTTTCCACGCACGCTTTCTCCAAATGTCTAAATAGACACGTAAGCTTTCCCAATGAGGCATTTTTCTCTTATCTTTTCTCAGATGCTCTGTTAATTCACAGTCCCGGCCAGGGAATGCACGAAGTTGACGTTTCTCTACATGAATACAGTGCACAGAAAGACGCTAGACATACACTGACGTCCAGCTGCATATTAATCACATCATACGACACTGCAAATACTGATGCCAGTATTCCCATTCATCACTTCGTTATAAATTATCCATGAACACCTCGTTATTTAAATAAGGATTACACGCACACTTGTGATCACACATCATAAAATTACCATTTTTAAAATTAAAAATGAAAATCACATTCTCAAATGGATTACACTAGTAATTGTAATTTTGTGAAGAATGCATTACATTGCATTGATATATTTTATGATTAATACACTAATACACTATATATTAAATGTTAGCCTATATAATTTAATTACATGCTTTCTTTCTGCGTAAGACATCTCGGGGTATTTGGCTCTACATAGGATAAAAACTAAGAAACCTTGTAAAACATTGCCTGTTTTTGTGGTGGACATTGTTAAAATGTGTACGTAGGCTATGACCTTTATGATCGGACATAAAGTAGGCTGTGTTAGATCAGCTAGAGAGTTTAATGTGTCAGTTTCAAAATAAACGCTGTACGTGTCTCAAAAAATAGGTGATATTACAGCACTCACTGCAGAAATAAGCGCTGAATTTCACATTCACATGTCGGAGATTAATAGGCCTACATCAAGGGTCAAAATCCGCACACAATTCACCCTGTCCTGTTTAATGCCACTAAAATAGTCTCGGGAGGTGATGGCAGAAGTCAACTTATGGTAGTCTGTAGTTATCTATTTGTCATTTTAGCAGATCATTTCCCCCGATGCAATTTAGATAATTCAATATTATTCTTTAGACATTATTTATCCTCAATGTAGTAAAATGCTCATTGGTTTTTCCAAATGCCAGGGTGTTTTTGCATTTAATTCTTGCAGTTTTTTTTAATCCTTGGAGTTCCAGCTCCTCGGTACAAAACAGGCGGTCAGTCGCGCTCGAGATCAGTTGACGTGCGCGGCGCTTTAAGAACCTCGGCGCGCATCCGCAGCCCACAGTAGCCGTATTCGTGCTCAGTGGCGCCGCTGTTCGGCGTTACGTTACCGGACCTGACGTCCGATGCTCATAAATCACAGAATCAACACATTCGCCGTAACGGGTCGTGCTCTCTGACATTTGTGAAAGGGTCCGAATGATAAAATGATTCTCACGGTGAAGCCACTTCAAGGGAAGGAATGTAGCCTGCAGGTAAGGTGATGGCGCGGCGCGGCGTGTCGTGGGTCTGCCCGGCTGGCTGCTTCGCGCTTCCTTTGCAACGCGTTAGGAAAGTCCGGGGATAAGTGCGGCCTTCTGCTCCCTCGGTGCCAAGCGTAACCTATGCGTACGTGTGAATGTTTGTCCGTATAAAGTTTCATATGAGAGGGTACACAGGCTTCCGGTTCGCGTTTCAACTTGCGTCCAGGCTTTTTATTCTATTATAAACGGGCTCACATCGTGCGGGGCTTGGCGGGGCGCCGCTAACAGCAGCTAACTGGCTAACTCTTGGAAATGCGCTCGACATTCAGGCTGCCTCGGCGACTCTCGGGTGGCACGTTTATTATGGTGTCCTGCTTTCGGACAATTGAAGTTAATGAGAATTTAAGCCACTTCTGTAACAACTACGCACCGCGATAAGGAAAAATACGACATCGCCCGGGGGCAGTGAAACACGGGGTACAAAGCTGGGGGTACTCGGGTACTGGATGCCAGTACCATGCTACTCCTGTAACTTATATATCGTGTAACAACCTTTAAATGCCCATTTCGCAGTAACATTTCACGTCAGACATATAAAAGTAATATAATTATTGCCTGCATTATAATTTGGACAGAACCGTTAATTATCTCGAACTCTGTGCAGGTGATCAAAACGTGACCAAACTTGAGCACAGGTTGAAGCGTTGCATATTTGGGCATGTGACGCCCGTGGGGATTGGCTAGCTTTGTGGGAGTTGGCGTTGCCGGTTTTACTTACTTTTTTTGCAGAACATTCTAGAGAGGTGCTTTTGCCAGTAGCCTGATGAACTGATTATGACTTGTCTTTGTCACCCTGGGCTCATGTGTTCTGTCTAAGTATGATGGTACATCTTGTGGCGCTGGGTGACAGTCATTGTTCTGACCTCATTACAGAGCTTACAAGTAACATTTTAATGATGATTCCAGAATTACTGAGAGTAAATATTACACATCAAAATTTTATGTTGACATAGTTACTCTTAATTATAGGATCCAATATCCTCAGGTCAGTGTTCATTGTTACATGACACATTAATGGGGAGTCTTGTTATTCAAAGCCTGTTTATGAACTTTAACATGTCACATTGCAGAATGTGTAACAGGAAAATGAGAATGTCTGTTCTGCTGAAATACAAAATGTATGACTTGGTCTAACAGTCTGACAGTACATGTTCAAGGCTTCAAGGTTTTTATTCATCACATGAAAGGTATACTGTCAGACCTAACCCTGCAAGGATGTGCAAGGTGGTCATCTTGGCCACAAAAGTAGTGAAAGCAAGACGACCTTAAAAAGATGTTAAAAGTAATAATATGAAAATGTCATAAATGTTATACAGTAAAAAATTTTTTATAAAAGACCAGATATTTGCTCCTGATGTAAGTGTCCTGCAGGGAGGGCAGATCAGCCCTTACAAATGCGTTTGGCATGACGTTCCACCCTCTGCAGAGCTTCACGGTCCAGGGCAGAGCAGTTACCAAACCAGGCTGTGATTCCCGTGGTCAGGCTGCTCTCCAGCGCTTCTGAGTCAGCGGCTTTGAGAATGGCTTTGATTTGGACCCTCATAGACCTGTGGACCTTTGGTTAAATGTGTTTCGAGCAATTTATCGACATTTTAAAAGACTGCTTTTCTTCTCATTATAATGATAATAGGCTACATTTCATCTAAGCAGTGGCCCCGAAGAGGGAGAACTAACAGTACTTCTTATGTCTACGTTAACAAAACATTGATACAGGCTTGGCTAGATAAATACAGTGGCTATTTACATGTATTCAATGGCTGTTTTATTAGTGTGTTTATGGGGAGAATAACATGCTGTTGTAGCTGCAGGTATACTACTTTATACTACTTTAAATTCAAGCTATTGTGTTTAAACTGGCAATTCTGTTTAAGTTGGCTGTATCATACCATGTTTAATGTCAATGCACCATTTATAGGGATACAATACACTGTTTATAGGGATGATACCATTCAGGCCATCACATTATGAATGATATTGAGAAACAACAGGAATGACTGGGACTGACCCCGCAAGCTTGTAGTCTATACTCAGCTTACATAATATAGGAGAGGTAAGGAGCATGCATTGATTACAGTGTGTTGCCACATCCGTTGGCTGGAGTGCTAATCCTGCCACAAACCCCCAAGTTTTTTTCCTGTAAATTGGGGAACCTGCTTACAGGGCTGGATGTAGATTAATGTCATAACCTGGACAAAGCAATTGCAGGTTATGAGCCTCAGTCAAGGGCCCAACAGAGTATGATCACTCATGGAATTCACGGGATTTAAACCAACAACCTTCTGGCTGCAGGCACAGATCCCTAGCCTCAGAGCCACAACTCCGCCCCATACTATAGACCTTTTCAATTATCTTAAAGACACTGTAAGAATTGTACAATAAGATTAGCGAAGGAGCACAATTTAAAGATGATTTGGCCACCATTACAGATTTCGTAGTCTTTTAAAAAAATGATTGCTGACCACTGCAGTCAGAAAGGACTAAACAGAACCATACAATGAGACCAAGTACTGTAAACTGGTAAAGTATAATTTGGTTACAGTATTTAAAAAATGCTTCTTCCAGCCTAAGTGTGTAGTCCTGCATATAAACTGTGTATGCAATCATCCTTTTAAATGCTCAATCTCTCTACTACCAAAAAAGGCAAGACGTTATACAGTATATCATTGGTCACAAGCAAACTGTTTGTGACTGGGGGAATTCCTGTATCACTTCAGCCTACCCTCCCAATACATATAAACTGTAGGCCAGAACATTGGTATTAATTAGCATTATTTTTTAGCATCTACATGTCCTGCATATAAGCTCTGAAACCATGATTTCTTACTGTACAGCCTTGCTTTCTCTGGCAGAGTGGGGGGTGGGGGGCAAGTGTTCAAAATGTACCTGTGTTCATGAATAATTGACTCCTTGCAGTTACGTGATGTGTATTTACCCTGGTGTCAAAACTTGCCCCTACGCCTATGTACCACTACGACCCACTTACCACTGGAAAGTCCGTGTGATTACGAACAGATTTTCTAATGTGCTTGTTTTTCGACTCTCCTGTCTTCATCCCTTAATTTCTGCTTGCAGTGACAGCCCCCTCTCCCATGCATTGTAATTCAGGAATGGCGCAGCTAATTCACATGAAATTTGCAAGTACTGAAAGCTCTCGTTGTCCTGCAGGTCTTCTCTGATGGTGCCCATCAGAAAAAAACTCCTTCCCTTTGTAAATCTAATCCAAAGGCAAAATTGGTGATATCTCCTGGCAGGCACATTACACCACGGTGATGACCACCTCTTTGGAAGGCCTTCACCTTCATCAACTTCACCACAGGGTCTCCATTAAAATTGTACTCCTGCAAATTATACTCCCTGCTCGTGCAAGCAGGATGCATGAGACTGAGCTTCCCCGGCAGAGATATCAATTTCCCGCAACTTTCACATTGGGTACTAGGGCTGGACGATTTATCGATTTCAAATCAAAATCGCGATTTGAAACAACGCGATTAGCAAATCGCAAAGGCTGCGATTTAGGATATACATTATACAGCACCCAAAGTTTAAAACTTGTGAGAATAGTTTTACAAATTCATGCCGTGCTCCCTGTGTGACAGTCATTCTCACCAATCAGAAGCGCCATGCTTCTCGCGTGCCAGTCATGCTCACCAATAAGAAGTGGCCCAGGACGACTGCGTATAAACCCACAAACGGCAAACGCGTGAAATCCAAGGAAAATGCTGCATTCACGGTGCGGGGAAAAAATTCTGATTCCTACTGAGCTATAAGTCAATTGCCTTCCTATTTCATGGTCCGAGATTGTTTCAGAAAGGTCCTATTATCAATAGAACCAGCGACCTCCTTTTAACCACGAGCAGCGAAATACTATGGGGGCATAGCATATCATACCTTTTGTTTTTTGTTAATGGGCAATATCATTAGCATACCGCTAACGCATCAAAACAACAATGTCAGAATTCCTCACAGCAGCGGAGTCTGTTACCCCCAGAAAAGCCGTAAAACCCATAATACAGTCGTGTTTATGTCATGTTTTTATGCTCATTAATTTAAGTATTTCCAAAGATTAATCTTGTTATATTAATCTTAATCCCACAACAGTAATAAAATAAAAGCCTCGCTTTTTTTTTTACTAAAAGAATAGATTGAATAATGTTCAGAATGGAATAATGTAGATTTACCGTTAAGATTTCTTGCGTGAGTCTGAGGCAAGTCACTTGCGTGAGTACCCTGTTCACGTACATTTTTTTTTGTTTCACCTGAATTGATTTGTATAGAAAATAACTGTATATAATTGTTAAAAAGCGGAAACTTCGACCAATATGAAATCACCAATAGACTGCTTCTATTTATTCGACATTTACATGCATATTATTATGGATTTTTGGTTGAGTGTGTTAGATTCGCTGCTGTTATTAACACTAATAACACAGCGCAAACAAAAGTGCTGCATACACTGAAATACTTCTTGATTGTTCAATGGCGTGGGAAACGGCGGTTCTAGTGTTAGGGGACTAATCAGCGTTAGCTGCAAGATCGTTATTGTTTTTCTTTTTGCTGCAATTGTTTTCATTATTACTTTATTTAACTTAACACACCACATCTTGCAGAATATAGACCAGTTAATATATTGTTATCTCATGTGGTAATGCTGCGTCATGTTTTAAATTTACTACACACTGAATATTGAATTGAAGCTTGACTTACAAACAATTATATCGCAAATCGAATTGTAATCGCAATGTCAGAAAAATTGCGATTAGATATTTTCCCCAAATCGTTCAGCTCTATTGGGTACCTGTTGAAATTGCCTTTCAATTTTTTTTAACGTAAGCTGAGATTTGGGGTATGTCTGAAACCATACTTACACAATTGGCACTAAATTTCGTCAGAAGCTTGCTACTCAACAACTAGTGCAATATGCACTGTATGTATGCATGCATTCGGACACATTGCGGTCGCCATCTTGCATATCACCTGACCCAGATGTTTACCAGTGACGCAGTTTGACCCCCGCAAATGTTGAAAACTGATATAAACTGTCAACGAAAAAAATACATATTCAAGTCAACCGAGTGTTGTTTTCCACTTAAATTTGTACAGAGACGACACTTGCTCTACCATCTTGACAATTCCTTGTGGGATAGCATAGCATCCATCCATCCACGCTTCAGAATTTCACAGAATGTAGTATGTCATCCGGGTACCATTCCCCTACTGTCTCATACATACAGAGGATTCGGACATACTGCTCATTTCGCCTACTACACAGCAAAGAAATATGCGATTTCAGACACATGTTTTAGTTTTTAATTTGTTCTGACCAACCCCCCACCACATGCATGTTTTCATGCTGCTTCAAAGTACATATCTGTGTATCTCATATCCCTGGAAAACTCTCTTCCCTGAATCTTAACTGTCCCATTGAGTCTCTGTTGAAATTATGCTTCGCCCATTTCATACAAATTTTTTAAAGACAGACCCCCCCACCCACAATTTTTTCCCTGTTCTTTAAAATTTCGGAGATGAGAATTTTTCTTTCCTGTGACTCCTATAAAATGGCATACTGTTGTCACATTTCACCGCACACCATATGGACAGTATGGTGGCAGTACTAATTATGACGTCAGTTGCACGTTATCAGTCAGAGCTGGGAGCGTGTGTCCTACCGTGAAGGCCAAGGATGCTTACAGACGTGTCTGAACTGCAGGTCACAGAGGACGAGAAAGTGTCGACGGTGAAGGAGCTCATCTCTGACCGTCTGAATATCCCCCCCAGTCAGCAGCGGCTGCTTTACAAAGGGAAGTCTTTGGCAGGTAAGGTTCATTATGGTGCCCTCTGGGTCCTATTGCCCCTAGACCCACTTGCCTCGCATCTACCGGCATTGTCCTCTTCCCGATGTGTCTCCTCAGATGAGCACCGGTTAAGTGATTACTCCATCGGAGCAGACGCCAAGCTCAATCTGGTAGTGCGGCCCACGGGAGAAAGGGCAGGGACAGCCGGGGGCTCCGGAGGTGGTGGAGAATGCGGCAGCAGTGCGGTGTGGCAGGCCCTCTCTGTGGTGCTGGCCAAACATTTCAGTCCTACGGATGCAGCTAAGGTGCAGGAGCAGGTTATCAAGGTACTACGTCGACGCCCCTCCCCCAGCTCACTTATCTGCCGTGTCGTCCTGATATTACCACGGGTACAACACTTCCTGAACAGGGTAAAGTACGGTATCCTCAGTGCACGATGAGGCCTGGGGCTGGGCTCTGGACTGGTCACTGACCTGCAGCTCCTCTCTCTCTCTCTCTCTCTCTCTCCCACGAGGATTACGAACGCTCCCTCCGGCAGCTCAGCCTGGATGACATCGAGCGCCTGGCCAGCCGGCTGCTGCACCCAGAGGCGGGGGGCATGGACACCTCATACATGGACTGAGAAAAGTGCCCTTCTGGGGACACGGGCGGCCGACAGCGGTGGAAGTGCGACTCCATTTAGCTACCCTTGGTCACCCCTCTATGGTGGTCTTCACCAGGATAAGCAAGAAAGGATGGATTTACACGGCACTGCACCAACTGGACATGGCATCACTGTTTGACCCAAGCCAGCGATTCCCTTTCTTACCCTCTGTATACATGAATAAAGGCATAAGAATTCACCTGCCACAAGCTAATATTTCCATCATCTCTTCAGATTAAAGTACTGCAGCTACTTTGAAGGACACTTACAGACACTCTCGCTCATCCCTGTGTAGTAAAATGGCAGAAGGACTAGCTAACGACATCAGCGAGGACGTGAAAGCAGCCACTCTTTGGACTGATTGAGATGCTTTTGTTTAGACAGGTGGTCTCTGTATGATTCTACTGTAAGTATGTTGTGTTTATGTAGGTCAGCAGTAAAGGAAAAGGGGATCTGGCTTCTGTTTGTATTTTCTGAGCCTAAGCCGGTGGCGCTGCGTGTGGTGCGAGCGAACTGCAGGACGGGTTCATGGGACTCTTACACCTGTATTCTTTCCTTAAGGATGAGAATATGCCGATCCTTAACGCTGGAAGTCGCATGCATGCCAGAGGGGGTGGAGCCGACGCAAGGACTCCCCCTCCCGGTCCTACACCTCCTCATGACAGCTGTGTGTGACAGTGGGTGACAGCCACACAGGGCCTGTCTTCGGTGGAGCAAAGAGAAGGCATGAGGAGGTTACTGAGAGGGCGGGCCTTCCCTCCATGTTGACATACGCCTTAAAACGGCCCTTTTTGCCACCAGCAGGCCGTTATCCATTGATCCCCAGCATGGATGAAAAAGACTATAAGTGATGTTGCCACATCTGGTCCCTGCACCACCGCCCCCCCCACTCCAGTCTTTCATTTCCTCTTGCTGCACACTGCATCGTCACCACTCCAGCAGAACACAAGCAGCGTGATGGAAGCCCTACTGAGGCAGACTCTGAGCCCAGCACCGGAAAAGCAGCCTGGCCCACTGCATTATCACGCCATTGACTCTTGCTAAGATGTTTAACTAGTCATGAAGCTGATGGAGGGACATTCGGTTTGGCAGCGATAGCATTGTATAAAAGCTAATCGCTACCCAAAATTGGCTGCTAATTATAACAGATATGGATCACAATAATAACCAAGTACATCTGCTAGCTACCGCCGGATTAAATGTGGCCAGCTAACCAATTTTAAGATGACTAACACCAAGAGGGCTTGTCTTTGACAACTGCATTAGGTATAAATAGAAACGGTGATTCAAGCACAGAAGTTCTTGCAGAACAATACCACAAATATGAAGCCCTGTACTGTTGTTTTTGACACTTCACTAGTGAAGTCATATCCAGAATATAGCGAGGAAATTAGCTGATAAATCTGGTCAGGCAAAGCCATGGAATTATTTCAACACTCATCTTGGACTACAGGTCCAAGACAACCATCTATTGTGTAAATTGAACATTACTATACCATGAATGACTGCAGTCACAGGTGACCAGATGACCTGGAACCAGATAGTAAGCTGGAAATTTACAAGCCGTTCATAAAGCACTTCACGAATGAATCATAAATGTACCTTTTTATTTAACTTGCTTTGTCATGGAAATTATATTAACAGGTGATATAACATGGCAGGTCAGCCAAAAAGGTAAAGGGGGTTTTACTGCATACAATAGTTTAATTTGGATTCTTTTTTATATTGGCATATATAAAATCAATACAGATTTCGATATTACAGTAACTACACAGATACAAAACAAGGTGAGGAGAGCTGTCTGCAAGCGCAGGGTGAAATCGGACTTCTGCTCTCTGCTCAGACCTCAGCCACAGCAGCGACTCTGTTCCGGTTTCACTAGCTGTCCGCCGCGTCAGAATACGGGAAGCAAGGCAGGGGAAATACGCCGTGGTTTGTCAAATCCCGGAGAGGACAGGACCAACAATTTGGCAAAAAAAAAAAAAAGAGGAAACTTCAGTGTGTACTTTAGCTCGGGTGTCAAGACCGGACTGAAGTGGAGCGATGAGGGAGCAGAGGTGGAGAAGGAGCACAAACTGACCAGCGGGTGAGATTTAAACCAAAGGTCACTGCAGTAAGTGGGCAATTGAACCTAGAATAAGTGTCTCACTTTGGCTGCAAGCGGCCCTGGCTAACCTGCCACTGGCTTACCTGCCACTGGCTTACCTTAATGCTCACAGTGAGGCTACACTCACTGCCCCTCCTCCCAGCAGAGCCCACGATGCTCCTACAGAAGGACTTCACACACTGCTGTCACACAGGTCTGACAAGCTACACTCCAAAAACCTCTTTCCCCGGTGAGTATATATCATTTTCTCCTTTATACAACATGCGATGGTCACACTGACGTGTGAAGTGCTGGAGGACAGATAGCTACTACTCTAGTGCGTCTGTGGGGACGTTCAGAAAGCCAAGAATCGGTCGCCCAGCCACTCCGACGGTTGTGTGCGACAAAAGAAGAAACGGCAGAGAAGTGGGTAGATGAAAGACACAGTGATGGGGAGGGGGGGGGGGGGGGTGCGGCCTACTGGCACCATGGATACTGATACGGCACTGAGTGGGCTGCAAGAGCCAAGCAAACGAGGAAGGAAGGAAGTCCTCAGCCGTGATGGAAACCACAGACAGGTTCATGATTCAGGTTGTATGTTTTGTATTTCTCAGATGTAATCACCTTGTGAGTGACGTGGAAAGGGAAGGCCAATCGAGGATGCTTTCTATATTGTTTCAGTTCTTGCCAAGAGTGTCAAGTTTTGGGAAAGAAAAAAAAAAAAAAAAGCTGCACCGTTTTGATCTGGAACCATGTATCAGAAAAACATTACTGGTGTCCACCTGTATGATACACCCTAGATCCCTCGCCCCGCTCTCCCAATCTCCCATCTTCTGCACTCTCAGCAGCCGCAGCCATCACTGGAGGACACTGGTTTGTCATCCCTCAGTTTGATCTGATCAGGGAAATCGTACGTCTCCACCTCTGACTCCTAGATGGGGGAGAAGGGAGCTCATGGGAGTTTTGCTTTCACAACAATGTTCCGAGTGCAAAAGGAAAATGATTGTCTCCCCGAACCAATCAGATATCTTGGTCCCACCTCCTCTAGTTGCTTGGACCCACCTCCTCTAAAATCTGATTGGTTCTCGCTCTCTAAACCAATCACTGTTCCTTCTGCCTTCTTCCTTTCTGTCTAAAACTCCCACAAGCATGAAGCAAGCATCTTACCAGCTAGGGGTTGATGCCTGCCCCACCTGTTGCAAACAGGGACACCTACAGGCGGAGAGAAACATCGTACCTGTTTGAGAGCGTTGCGGGCGATCGTTTGGAATGCCTGGTCCACATTGATGGCCTCTTTGGCGCTGGTTTCGAAGTACGGGATGCCGTTCTTACTCTGACACCATGCCTGAGCTCGCTTCGTCGTTACCTGCGGCAAGAAAAGTCGTACTGCTGATTCAACTGCCCAGACCGTTAATGTCCATTAACATCATGAGGTACATAATCAATGGAAGAGGAGGTATTCTGGGCCTTAGCATATAGAAAAATGGTACAGAAATTTACCAATGTTTAGTTAAAATCTAGTTGAGTGACGATTATAATTCAAGATTCATACCGTCACCAGACCACTTTCAGAAGTCATGTTAATACAGAGCAATCATATCCAATGTAATTCAATTATATTCTTCCCTCTGAGGTGAATATACCACAAACACAGACATTAGCAACTTAAAAACCCAAAATCACCCAGCACGAGCACACCTTCCTAAGAACCTGTCGCCCAGCCCAGGCTTCCTGCACAGACCTGCCTATTTTCCAAGTCAATCTTGTTGCCTAGCACCACGAATGGGAAGTTCTCAGGGTCACGGGGACTGGCTTGGATCAGGAACTCATCCCTCCAGCTGTCCAGGGTTTTAAAGGTGTTTGGTGCGGTGACGTCATACACCAGCACACAGCAGTCGGCCCCACGATAAAAAGCCACACCCAGTGACTGGAAGCGCTCCTGTCCCGCAGTGTCCCATATCTGGCACATGAGAAAACAGCTCAGAGTCACGTCAATTCTTGCACAATCGACGGGCATCTTTGGTCTCTGCTCAACCCGAGGCACCGTTCTGGTATTATATGAATGAGGAGACACATAAATGAGCAGGAAAAAACATTTTGTAAGCTGTCCCCCTCCCTCTTATGGACAGGAAAGCAGCAAACAATAAACAGGCAGAAGGTAGGGGAGGGAAGAGAGAAACAGACCTGCATAGTGACCAGCCTGTCATCAACCATGACCTCTTTGGTGAGGAAGTCAGCGCCGATCGTGGCCTTGTACTGGTTGCTGAACTTTTTGTTCACATACTGGTTCATCAGAGAGGTCTTGCCCACGCTAATCACGGAGACAAAATGAGACATACAGAACAGTATAAGGAAAAGCTGGTGGCACGTTGTTTAATGACATGCACAAGGAACTGAAGGCATAGAGTCCAAGTCCAGGGTACAAGGTGACTATACCCTAGAAAGGTACAGTTCAGGAACAACTTAAGTAAGATACTCAGTGAGTACAACCGTAATTCACTGTTGACGAAAGAACCAGCCTAACAATACGTAACAGGTGATAAAATATCAAGAGCCATACTCACATATTTCAGTTAAATACTGTAAGAAAAATTCAGTAAAGAAAATCCCTTGTGCTCCGTGGCAGAGTATAGTGTCTTACAACACGCATAAAACGCGGGACATAACTCACCCAGAGTCTCCCAGGATGATAACTTTGAGCAGCACCTTCTTCCGTGAAGCCATACTGGACTGCTGGACGCTGCATGAGAGATTTATAAACAGCGTTTAACACACAACTGCTTAGTTTTTGTAGTACAACCGCTGTCATGACAAATAAAAAGGAAGTAGTAGCTGGCAGACAATTTTTATTATTATAATATAATCACTCGAAATCCGAGGTAGGCGAGAGCCCCGTTTAAAGCAATCCGGCTGCATTACACATAAGCAAACGTATAAATGTCGGATAGGCGTGGAGGTCGGCAATAAACGGCAAGCCTGGCAATGCCGGTGGACAGTCCGCGTCCCGTAGGCAGGCATCAAAAGCCCGAAAACGCGCCAAAGGACGTCCGCACAGCACAGACGTGGTCTGGGTTTTTAATAAGGCCGTCGGCCGGAAAACCTACGGGCTGCTGGCGGACGAAGCCGCTCCGCTCAGAACCGAAGACGAACCGAGCCAGCTGTCCATCAAGTAATGCGGGACAGGTGAGCAGGCAGGCAGGGGCGACGGGCAGCAATCCGCGGAGCTGTTCAAGCACGGCGCAATGCCACGGAACCAGCGAAGCGAAATGCAGAGAGATCCCACGCAGATTTTGGGGAAGGGGGAGGCTACAGAAACTCACCAACGCGATCTGCCGTCCGCTTCCTCACTTCCAGCTGACAGAAGGACGTAGAGCAAATCGGAGACAAACACACAGGGAGAGAGATCGCTAGCCAGCCAGCACCGCAGCCAAGCTCCCTGTGACGCCGCGCCCCGAATGTCACGCTGACATATATATGATCCTAAAAAACACTGGGGGAAAAAATCCCACTTAACGGGAGAAGGGCAACATCCGCCGAGTCCGTAAAAAAAAACAAAAGTGATCGGACCTCAATATGGCTGCGGAGAGTCACGAGGGGTTGACGTTGCAGGAGGAGAAACCAACCACGGGAAGTCCCCGCAGTCCGCGCTCACCGCGCGCAGGGCGCAGAGAGAGAGAGAGCCATCTTGGCGCATCGGAGGACGGCGCCGCGAGACGTGCGCGGCGAGTCGCGAGCCAACATGGCGCGGGGGCGCAGGAGCCCCCTTCGTTATATTATTTTTTGTTATTAAGGGTCCAAAGCACGTAGTGCTATGGAACCTTATTGTTTTTGTTAGGATTATTATTATTATTATTATAATACTGATAATTATTATTATTATTAATAACAATAATAATAACCTTACTACTGATTTTCTTAGCAACAACAATAATAACAGCGAAATGGGGCAGCATTCCAAGCATTCTTTTAATCTGGGCAGAGCTTCTTTGAAACACTTTGAAAATTACTGTTTTACCCACTCTTCTCACCAAAAACAAAAGAAAAAGCTCTGCTTTTTTTTAAACTGACAAGGGGGTGTTCCACGAAGTTTCTCAGTTTCTATCCTAAGTTAACCCAGAAAACTGAGAAGTACTGCTTCGTGGAACACCCCCTGGTCATTTTTAAACCCATGTTGTCCGTAGGCTGTCAATTTCTTAAGAGTCTCCATTGGAAGAGCATGTTGTTTTTTCCACATCAATATAATTGTATGGAATACAGAAGTTAGGAATCGCAACCCAAGAGCATTTTATTGTCAGTCTGCGTTGTGCCATCCATCCATCCATCCATCCATTTTCTTTAACCTCTTGTTTAAGGTAGCAGGGCTCTGGAACCTATCCAGGAAGCTCCGGGCAGGAGGCAGGGAATAATACATGACGGGGTGTCAAACTGCCAACCCATTGTAGGGCAGACCTACATTAACACCTATGAGCAACCTGGTAACTCCAATTAACCTCAGCATGTTTTTGGACTGTGAGGGGAAACCAGAGAACCTGGAGGAAACCCCACGATGACACAGGGAGAACATGCAGACCCCACACACATGGAGCCCTGGTGGAGAACTTCGGTGCCAGGGCTATGAGGCCGGTGCTGACCACTGTTCACCACACTGCTACCTTGTGCTGTATCGTGCCATATCAGAACTACACCTCTGTGATCCCAATAAGATTAAGGATAGTAGACTGATCGCTGAGACACAAGTTAATCTGGAGACAGCTCAAGCGAATTACTAACTCAGTTCTAAGGGATAAGTCCCAGCCTTTGCATACTGAGTTTCAGTGTCTTCCCTCTGGTTGCAGGTTTACAGTGCTAAGATGTAGAATGAAATGATAGTTTTGTTCCAGTGGCCATCACGGAAATGAATGTTACAGTCAAAGGGAAATGCTATTTTATTTTATTGTACTTAAATGGTATTTATTGTGTTTTTTTATAGTTATTGTGTTAAGTTGCCTGTGTTGTAAGATGGAGGAGGTGTGATAAGTGTCTGTCTGTAACATGTGTGTCTATGGATGAGGACTATTCACTGCAAACCAACTCTCGTTTGAACTTCAACTATTAAGGTGAGAGAAGAAACACATTCACAAAGAGGACTGGATTACTTTGAACATGACAAGGCAGTGAAATGATGAAACCAAGTATCCACTGTGAATCACATCATTCACAGTAACAAGTGCAGACAGAAAGATGTTTATTTAGAATTTCATGTTGCAGTCTGCTCTTCTTCACGGGAAATCGCCTGTACTCACTCAGAATACAGACAGGAATAACAGTATGTTAGAAAAAAAAAAATCAAATGTCCTGCATTCCACTGCAGGTTTATAATTATAATGATGGCTATCATATCTGCAGATCAGTTAATAGAACAAAGCATGCAATTTACAAGTCAATTGGTACTTAAAGAGAAATTCTATCAAATGCAAAGTAATCTGAAACAATTTCACAAACATCAAATTTTATTTCAATTATATTCATGCCATTAAAAAAGCACTGTTGGTTTTTATTGCACACCTGGCACCCTCAAATTAACAATCTGCACCCGCAGGCGGAAATCACTCAGTCCATAACTGCAGCGTGGCTGCTGGGATGATGGCCCTCACTACTTTCAGATACATTGTTATACTGTAAGTATTTGGAGTACAGAATTTATGGACTTTTTCCTCAGTATCAAAAGGAATGAAGTATATAGGAGTCTTCCATCAAATTATTTGGTCAGCTTGCTAAAGCAGCATTCCCACATCATGATACATCTTTTCTGGTTTTAATCCTGCTTCTTCAGTGCCTGCTGGTGTACCAAGTGGTCTATTGTGGTGGAACACATACTAGGAACTGTAAGAAAATACCATCTGGCTCTAATCCATATACCAGGAAATGAGCCTTGAAATGGGCTATTTAATTAAATGAATTCATCATCTGAATATGTGCTATATATATAGATATGTGCTACAGTAAATATAAAAACAATAGTTGATTAAGTGATCAAATATCTGAGAATTTTGCGTTTAAATTTCATACCAAACCCCATTGTCTGTAGTAATCTATATACACATATAAGGAAAATATTCAAGAAGAATACACGGCAACATCAAGACCATTAATACTCCAGTAAGTGGATCATTTATTTTGAAAAGTGGAATGAAAGATGAGCAGAGCTTGCCCTCTGGTGATCAAACAGCAACACACTAGATAAATTTGGAAGGAAATGAGCCAATTCGCTGTCGCTGGTTGATTTATCCACTCGAGAATTTGTCTCGCATTTTTGTACTACGGTTAATGGAGAATCGTAAACATTTTTACCGGTATTTAAGAGTAGCCAGCAGCGCTCAGGAACGCACGTTGTTAATTTGAAAAACGCTAAGAAAATAACGATTCCGTTAAATCTTGGTACAGTTGTTCCACATCATCTCAGGCTGGTAGGAGCCCTTCAATTTTACTAATATATTTTTCTAGCTAACGTATATTCATTAATAATATATAACAAATAGAAATCAATATTCGTCACATAGTGTAAACAGTGAAGGCATTTGACTAAATTGGTTTACTTAAAAAAAAAATTGGAAGTATCCCAAACACAGCTATCAGTCTAGGGCCCCCCAGAGAAGTTACTCCGTCCCTATATGTACAACATAAGAATATAGATATTTAATATGGCTTGTAAAGTCAGTAAATATTATAGGAAAAGTTTCTGATGAGCAGCTAATTAGCATGGAGTCTTTGACAAAGGATCTGAACACCGTTAACCGCGGGGAGATGACTGAAACACTCATATTAGAGCTCTTTCTTCCATGTCTGCGCAGAAATGTCTGCGGTCAGCTTGCAGGACTACGTGGACAGTGTGCTGCCGGAGGAGCAGTATGCTGACTGGGCGATTGTGAACCATCGCAAACGTAAAGTTTTGGCCGCCAAACGATGGGGCTGGCTGGGACACTTGACCCGCCAAGAAGTGAAGACTTTGCTGACAGGTGACCGAGAGGCCATTCAGACCCAAGGCCTTACTCTCGGCGGAATGCAGTGCTCACTCATCCGGGACAACATGGGCACGCCCGGCGATCGCTCGATGGACCTCCGCACAAAGCCAAGGCCTGGCCGTGGCGTGGCGGTGCGCCGCTCCAGACGGGTCCTTGTTCTGCTCGTTGGTCAGCGCGGCGTCCACGGTGCTGTCCTTCATCAGATGGCGTACAAGATAGCTTCTAATATCGACGATGGCGATTCACAGATAATCCAATAAGCAAAGTCCATACATTTTTGGAGTTTTAGCTTCTAATGGATTCTGAGATGTATGGTACTTACAGCAACCGAGTCTTATGTAATAACAATAAAAGAGTTCTGGAAAACCAATACTGGTCACCTATGCCGCATAACAAACTATCTTTACTTAAATAGCTTGTTCAGCATGAAAGTGCATTACAAGGTTTATGGATTAATCTTGAAAAAAAAAAGATTTAGCTATGGTAGTGGAACGATGCAGTTTGGGGTCTGAATCTCATCTCAGCTGTGTGTGTGGAGTTCACATGTTCTCTCAATGTCGCACGAGTGTCCTTCAGACACTGCAGTTTCCTTTCACTAAATACTTTCCGTTAGGCTAAATGCCGTAGTTAAATTATCCGTGGTGTGCGAGTTTATGTGGCCTAAATTTTTCGACCTATCCAGGGTGCACCCCAGCCAGAAAATATCAGGACCCCGCGACATGTAAACTACTGGACCTTGATTAATCTGTTTTAGTGAGCGCATAATGGATAAACATTAAGACCAAGAAAATGGGGGTGGAAAATCTGCAAAATCGAGAAACTTTGAGGAAAATATTAAATGAATACCTAGAAAAAATATGTGTATTTCCTTTCCAATCGGACTCATTATCATTTTGTTCATGCAAAACGTTCGACTCCCCGTTTCCGAGCATTCAAGCCGTGAAGGGGAAGCGAATGCGATTTCACAACGACACGGATTGAAAGGCATTTAAACCAATCAGAAAGCACACTAACGGAACATCTTCGCGGGATCTGGCCAATCACAGCGTGAGACAAGGAAGCGGAGAGGTTCCTAATATGTGATGACAGTTGTCGGTGTACACTAAATTAAGATGCTGTGGAAATAATTTCCTGTGATTTTTTTTAAAGAAAAACTTACAATGGAATCATGAAGGAATCGTCGTAAAGGATTCATGCAATTTATGTACTGTGTTCGGTGAGAATGAATTCATTTACTTCCTCTTTCCTGAACTGGGAAATGTGCATCCATTCACCCAGTGAGCTAAATGACTGTACAGCTATTTCACATCCAGACTTTTTACTCACGGGTCACCTCTGCATAGCTGCACGCAGGTATCATTATTCTTTATTTGCACGCGTTACATCTAAAGGGTAAGCGGCAGCCTGCTATCTTGGTTTGTTGACTTGATGGCTCGTCACAGTCCACGTCCCCGGTGTTACGTACGACTCGCGATGTCAGGATTACTAGAAACGAAGCTGTGCCTCTGGAGGTTTAGCAGCACCCTATGGATTTAAATCATCATTATTATTATTATTATTAATTTACTTAGATGGCAGAGTGGATGTCATGCTTAGCACCTCCTCCAGTCGCGACTCGGCCGCGCGTATGGGCGTGTGCCCGTTTACGGTCTCCGTGCTCTTCAGGTGGGTCCGGGGGGAGGAAGAGAAATCGAAATGTAATAGTTATGAAGCTTGTAAGCACATCACGAGTGCTGACACATCGGTATCGTCCCGATGCTGATAATTACTTCATTTTAACGATTCGTGAATACGGATTTAAAGCTCATTAGATGAGTAATGGTTACGATGAAAATTAATAATCGTGCTGTAGTATGTTTTTGTCGGTATTTACTGTTCCCCTGGACGGGCTTTTAATCGTACTGTTTTGGGAGAGTGCAGACTTGGAATTGTAGTGTTGTACCATTAGATAGCTGATTGAGTGCGCTGATAAAATACCGTGATGAACTGTGGTCCCCTAGGCATTATTAAGCTGGGAGTTTGAACTCCACATCTGAGCCTGTAATCCTGTAGCAGGCCGCGTATGAACTGCTTGTATCACAACACGTACCACCAATGTGAGTGAGGAGGAGCTGCGGTTCTGGAGGTCCGGGATCGTTCGGTCTTGGCTCACACACTGCTTAACCCGATCCCCCGCCGGGATGCACACCTGTCACCTATTGAGACAGTCACAAAAAAAGAAGGAAAGAAAGAACAGCCCATATGCCCAGGGGAGTAGTTAGACATTGAGAGCCCCCTGAGAAAATGTCACCTTGGGCCCCCCCTAACATTTCCCCCCCACCACACACACACACACAAACACACACACACACACACACACACACACACACACACACACACACACACACACACACATAAATTAATTAAAGGGCCCTGTAAAGGGCTGGGCCCCCCTGAATCTCTGAGGTTATCCATGCCCCTTCCACACCCCTGAATAATATGACTACGCAGAGTTGCCAACTTTGGTCAGCTGGCTGGCGGGAGATTATGAATTTGAGAAAAGTCTGCACACACATGCACACACCTTTACATGTATGTAAGATGTTTATTACCTTGTAAATAGTCTATAAGGTTTGCAGACTACCCGAACACTTTCGATGTAGCTAATTTTAGGTTTATAATGGAATAATATGGATTTGCCGTAAGATTTCTTATGTGAGAGTCTGAAAGTGTGAGTGTCACACCAGATACATGAGAGGTGGCAGCTCAGCGATTACAATCCCGCAACCAGTGAAACATAGAGTCTACTATGAGATGAAGATGGCGGGTGTCAAAAATATGACCTTAATTCATGTTTCTTTCTTTTCCGCTCCAAAGCGGTTTTGTTTTTTTTACTAACAGAGATGGAGACTCTGATTCCTGTGATCAACAGACTTCAGGAGGTCTTTGTCACCGTGGGTGCGGAAATTGTGCACCTGCCTCAGATTATAGTGGTTGGGTCGCAGGTTAGTATTTATACTGGGATTGTTATACTGGGACTGGTCAGTCAGGGATCAGCCTAGATACCTGGCATCAGAAGATCGACTTGATTCCGATTCCATATTAATTAGACAGGAATGAGATACAGCTTTCCATATGTGGAGAGATGTTTAAAAAGCTCTACATGGAACACAAATTTACAAATGCAGTCACTGGAAATAAATAGTGAAAACGCCAAAGGCTTGTATACAAAAATCCTCTTTATTTGAGGAACATAGAGGTATACTTCCTTAAAAGCAAAACCGACCTGCCTCTGTTAAAGCACAAAAAAGACTAAAAGTTGTGTTAACTATATAACTTAACACCTTAACCCTTGTGTACATGGGACTTTTTGGAAAATGTGAAATTTAAGCCATGAATAATTATAACTTTTACTGTTTTGAATACCTCTTCCCTGAACATTTTCTAAACAAATGTAACTTTTTACATAGTTTCAAAATCAATTTAACATTATAAAAACATAAAACTACCCATTTTAAATAATTTTCCGATCAAAATATTGTACAAATAATAATATTGTATTTTTCCTAATGGCTGCCAGGCAAAATACGCCTTCCTGTTTATTTACTTCTTCTTTCGGCTGCTCCTGTTAGGGGTCGCCACAGCGGATCATCTGTTTCCATTTTTTCCTGTCCTCTGCATCTTCCTCTTTAACCCCCTGCATGTCCTCTCTCACCACATCCATAACCCTCCTCTTAGGCCTTCCTCTTTCACACTAGCCGCCTGCATGTCCTCTCTCACCACATCCATAACCCTCCTCTTAGGCCTTCCTCTTTTCCTCTTGTCTGGCAGCTCTATCCTCAGAATCCTACTCCCAGCATACCCAGTGTCTCTCTACTGTACATGTCCAAACCAACACAATCTCACCTCTCTGGCTTTGTCTCCAAACCATCCAACCTGAGCTGTCCCTCTAATAAACTCTTTCCTAATCCTGACCGTCCTCATCACTCCCAGTGCAAATCGTAACTCTGCTACCTCCAGCTCTACCCTCTGTCTTTTTCATCAGTGCCACTGTCTCTAGCCCATAACATAGCTGATCTCACTGCCATCTTGTAAACCTTCCTTTTCACTCTTGCTGTTACCTGTCTGTCATGAATCACTCCTACCACTCTTCTCCACCCACTCCACCCTGGCCGCCCTCTCTTCTTCACCTCTCTTCCACATTCCCTGTTACTTTGAACTGTTGACCCCAAGTATTTAAACTCCTCCATTTTTACCAGCTCTACTCCCTGCATCCTGACCCTTCCGCTGTCCTCCCTCTCATATATTCCAACACGCATATATTCTGTCTTAGTCCTACTGTCCTTCATTCTGCTCCTCTGTAGAGCATATCTCCACCTCTCCAGGGTCTCCTCCACCTGTTCCCTACTCTCACTACAGATCACAATGTCATCTGCAAACATCATAGTCCACGGGGACTCCTGTCTGATCTCGTCTGTCAACATGTCCATCACCACAGCAAACGAGAAAGGGCTCAGAGTTGACCCTTGATGTAATCACACCTCCACCTTGAACACATCAGTCACTCCTACCACAGACCTCACTGCTGTCACACTGTCCTCTTACATATCCTGTACCACTCTTGCATACTTTTCTGCTACTCCCAACTTCCTCAAATACCACAACTCCTCTATAGGCACCCTGTCATATTCTTTCTCCAAATCCACAAAGACACAGTGCAGCTCCTTCTTACCTTCTCTGTACTTTTCCATCAGCACCCTCAGAGCAAACACTGCATCTGCTCTTTCCTGGCATGAAACCACACTGCTGCTGACTAATCATCACCTCTCCTTAACCTAGCCTCCACTACCCTTCATGCTGTGACTAATCACCTTCACCTCTCTGTAATTACTACAGCTCTGCACATCACCCTTATTCTTGAAAATTGGTACCAGTACACTTCTTCTCTACTCCTCAGGCATTCTCTCTCTTTCCAAGATTGCGTTAAACAATCTGGTTAAAAACTCCTCTCTATTTACATGTATAGGACAGTACCTGCTTCCAAATATGCTGACATTGGTGTTTTTACCTCCGTAAGGGTCCAGTGATCAAAATCCATTTTCGTTCTTTACCCACAAAACAAGCTAAATTGGACAAATATTACAAAAACCACCACTAGATAATGCCCCATTTACGCCTCGCTGTTTAGGGATAATGTGGTATTGGGGGGGTAATAAGGGTTAAAAAATAAGACAGTATGACCAGACTTCTAATGTTTCTGATTTATTTCAGTGATATTCTA